TTTGATTTGAAATTGATTTAATTTTGTAATTAATTAAAGACATTAGTTCCATTTCATCCTCAAGCTTGAGGATCAAATGGAACTAATGTCTTTAATTTAATTACAAAAATTAAATTCGGCTTTTTTAGCTTCCATTTTTGGAAACATGGTTAGAACTGTGTAGCTAAAAAAAACCTATTTTAAATCAATTAATTTATAATATTAATGCTCTGTAAATTTACATTGAGCACTATTTTGTAAAAATAAAATATCTATAAGAACACCAGATTATATATCTTACTGTTCTTTTTCTTTTTATTTATATATATATATATATATATATATATATATATATATATATATATATTTCAACTAACCATCCCATCTCGTGGGTGTGTGTGTGAAAAATTGGAAAACTGTTTTAATGACTTAATTACATGTTTCAACATCATTAGATTGGTTTCCTCAGATCAAAACAAAACAAATGTGTGTTTATTTCAATATTAAATCATTAATACTTTTACATTTTTGTCACTCAGTTATGTGCCATGAATGATACACGCTTAGGCGATCATGCATCTTTCGATACATGTCTGACAAAGCATATTTCTTCCCACAGTACATTGCCATTTCTTTCTGTGATAGACCAGTTGCCATCCAAGGCTATAGAACCTGGTCTGTCCTGCTATTTACCCATAAGTAGGGGGAGAAGAAGAGGATTCATACCTTTCCTAGGGGTATTAGCACATAAGTGAATGTAATGGATTCAAATGGAATTCGAACTCGGCTCTCCGATTACTCAATCCGAGGTGCTATCCACTACTCCACTGTGCCTCCTAATATCACATAACCAACCCAAATTACTACAGAATTTTAGAAGATTTATAACTTTATAAATTATTCTAATTAAAATTTTTAAAAAGCATAACAATTCTTGTAAAAATTCATTATTCATCAAAAAAACATTTTTCTTAATGTCCATAATACATCTTATTCATAAAAGAAATTAAAAGGCTTCCTAATTAAATAATGACTTTTAGTGGGTTTCTCAGGAACTGTCAACTGCAAGATTTTTTTTTCTCCTCCCCATCCTCTTTGTTCAACCAGTGACTGTATTCAAAAGAGCAAGACAGCTTACAGTCTTCATCTCTCTCCTTCCCCGCCAGCCTGTCATCCAAAAAGTGGCTCAGGGTCAAATGTAACTGGTGGGAGCTTTGGCAGCCAGAAAGCTCTTCCTGTTACAGAAGTCCAGCTTTTGAAAGCAAAATAAAGTTAGGGAAAAATTAGTGTAAAAGTCATCATAACTGATCAATGAATCATCTGTGAATAACTGATGGAAAATAACAAAGAATGGGGGCAAACAAAATTGTACTGACTGATTAAGATAATGGGAAAAACACACACACATATATATATATATATATATGAGATAGAGTATAAAATAGATAGGTTGGTTAATAAAACAAGGGAAAACGAAAGGGTACCAATGTGATCAGTGTGAAAAAAATTTATTGTAAATTAATTATTAACCACAAGACAGAAATGAAGCACAGAGATTAATGTTATTAGTCCGGAATTTTCGGGCATGCCTGTGTCCTTCATCAGCAGTGATTATTGTGAATTCATTGTAGATGGTATTATTAGTAAAAAATTTTTGAAAATACGTTCAGCCCGATCAGTTTCAAAAAAAAGTTTTGCATGCGAGTAATCAAGCAGGGATCGGATTTTTATTAATAATTTAATAATATTTTAAATACTACAAGAAGCACATGGACTCTTTCTTCTATGGATTTATCTCTTCTCTTCTATATATATATATATATATATATATATTATATATATATATATATATATATATATATATATATAGATAGATGAATAAATAAAACAGGAAATGATGAGAGGTAAAGACTGTTTTTTATCCAACACTGACCAAATCTGACTAACATCTACAATAAATAATACCAAGTCTCTGATCCCCACTCCAAACTCTATATTAATTCTCAGACTGGTTTTAAAACATTATCATTACAGTGAAGAAACTGGGTAAAAAAAAAGAAAAAACACAGGAAAAAAAAAAGAAATCTACGAAAGAGGAAGACAGATTTAAATTTTAAATAATAAACAGAGGAAAGCAAGGAAATTCCAATAAAAGTAAATGTAGTACCTATTTTATGAGAGACATCATGTGACTTTATATATTTATTTTTCATGCAGCCTGTTCTACCCTGTTTTATTCTTAATTTTTTTAAATCAATTCACCCCAAGCAAAGTGATAATGCCACTAAGTTAAGAGGGGCTATTGGAAGTGAAAGAGGAAAAAAAAAAACTTTAGAAGGAACCGGAAACCCAATACCAAACAGGAAACAAGGGATAAACCTCTACACCTGTTCAAAAGACCAGGGAGAAGTGTGAATCTATCTACTCCTATTGAGGAAAAAAAATAAATAAAAAGTAAAAATTTCAGAAAAAATACCATCTTTCCCAAATGAGAGTAATTAACCCCCCCCCCCCCCAATGAATTCACCCCAAGCAATTCGGTAACACTACTAAGATGCAAGAGGCTACTGGAACTGAAAGAAGTGAAGGAAAAGACTTTAGTAGGAACCAAAAATCAAATACAATCCTAAACAGGAAATAAGGATAAATCTCTACTCCTGTTCTAAAGACGAGGGAGGAGTGTGAACCTATCAACACCTATTAAGAAAAAAGAAAAAATGAAAAATATATAAAGAGTAAATAAAATTTTAGTGTTTAGGTAGAGATGTAAGAAGTATAGAGTTGAAGTTGACTTTAAAAGGAACAAGAAATCCAATTCGAAACAGAAAACGAGATACCTGTTCAAAAAAACAGATAGGAGCATGAACCAGAAATACAATATAATGGCTGGCTACACATATCAGAGCATGCCTATCTACTAGAGTGGTTAGCCAATCCCTATTGCTGACACCTGTTCAGTTACATTTGCATTTGTTCAACATCCACAGAGCCCATCTGTAGTTTATACTGCAACTATGCTGAACGGACATTATTTACAGTTTCTGGGAAAGAGCGCATCATCTGGTGTAGTGTATTGCTGCTGGGCTGAAATAAGGTGACAAACACTTATATATAAAAATATATAAATATCTTTATTGTTTGAGCTGCAGTGAATAGGTAGAGTGAGGGAGAATCACAGAGGTTAGGTTTGCACACCCAGGAATTGATAGAGACAAATCTTTGGTGAACCTCTGGCCAGCCTCTCTGTCCAGATCAAGAATTGGACCGGTTTTATAACATTTGGACACCTACACAACTTCATGTGGCTACATCTTTTAGTACATTGCCTACACAACTTTGTGTGACCACACCCCTTCTGGCATGTGCCTATGCAACTTCACAACCATGCATTGCCTTCCACTCAGGACAAATGTGCACCCTGTTTATTCAAGGCTTAAGACACCTGTGCATCCTGTTTATGCTATCACCTGTTCTGATTTTCGCTCACACACTGATGCAGCAGAAGTAAGGTCAAAGGTCTTTCCTCAACTGATATCCAACACTGGCATGAACAACAGTTTGAATAAGGCCAGTACGTGCAAACCCTCGGCGACAATGATTTTATGCTAGCACAACCCTAGACAAACAATTTTTTCTACCTAATTCTACTTATAAGGCTTGGGTGGTATGGTTTTTGGACAATTTCCCAAGATGCTGAACACGGGTTACCATCTCCAGGCCAATAACATCAAGAAATCACCTTCCTGACAAATTGACCATGGTGCAATTCGAACCTGAATCTCATGGTTGGAAGGCAAACATTCTAAGCACTTGGTTAGCTGTTAGTGTTAGAACAGGAAGTATTTCCCAATACCAAAATTATGAATAAGCCCAGTGTCATAACTACAGAATATCTCATTAACAAGTAGTGACAACAATTTGCTAATATATAACTTCACAGAACTTTTGTTTAATGTTAACTTTCGATGGTAATAGAAAAAATTTTCATTTCCTTATACAGAAACATTTGGCACCCACTGACCAATTTACCAGTGCTACTTTTGGCTGAAATTTATTAAACCTTTCTATTAAAACAATTTTTCAGAAAATAAGTTTCTCAAGTCAACTGTCATCATACTTTCCAGTACTGATGGTGACTTTCTTTCCTAACTTTTTGTTAGGAGTAGTGTGGAATGTCAACATCTTGATTTGTCATTGAGTTACTGTTGTTGAAACTTATTAAGTGCTGTGGTTTCTGTTATTTGGTATAGTTCTTTCTGATTCTGTAGTAGCAGTTCATGAGGTTCAAAGAAGGATAGTCCTCATCAAGACCTACAGCTTTGTTCACTCCAAGCCATTTTTAATCATTGGTTTGATAAAGTGGTTGGATACAGTAGACCATTCAAATACTTCTGAACATGTTTGGCTCCATGCATGATATCCATATGAAAGTCTGGAATTGACAAAACTATTTAAGAGTATGACTTGAGTTTTTTGTATGATTTTTGGCTTTTATAGCCGTTTGCAGTGTTGGGCAAAATTAAACCTAGTACGCAGTCTATTTTACATTCAATTTTCCTATCTCCTATAGTAAATTTGTTATAACCAAGCCATACACCGAGGTATTTGAGCACTTCAACATGGTGTAATGGTTAGTAAGCTTGTCTTGCTAAATCAATTACAACTGAATAGTGAGTTTGATCCTGATTAGGTGCTCCATACTTTCAGCCTTGTGCCACATCTAAGCTTAGTCTACAAAAATCATCATACACTGAAGTGTTTACTGTATGTGACATCACTGCTTTCATTTCAATTCCAGATCATAGTTTGAAATGACCATGTAAACTAATTTTTTTAGTCTTTTTGTCTTTTTCAGATCGTTATCAATTTAAGAAATTGTTTACTTTATTATAAAAAAAATAAATGAAAATAGACACGGTTTCTCATATAACTGGACCTTCTAGTTTTCCAGCACCATAAGTCCTGCAAGAGAAAACAACAGAGCCGCAAAGATTATTTTCAACGATAATCTCACAACTTACTCTTTTCTTTAGTTGGGGCGTCTGTCTTGTATTTCTCCAGCATTCGACGCCATCTGTGTTTTGATTCTCTTCTTCTCATGTCCAAACAGTTACCAGGTTCAGCTCACACAAGAGCTGGGAAATGGGGAAAACGATCCATAGGATTTACTGGTAGTAGGGTTATGTCTTTATACAGATGTCAAAATGAAAAACCAACTGAAATAAAAATCAAAGAAGAAATTGTTAAACACCATCTGGCTATCAATTACAAAAACAAGAATATTTCATAAAGATAATAAGAAATGAATTTTTATAAAGAGCCTTCTAGAAATCAAACGAGGTGGGGGTCTAGAATAATGGTTATCACCAAGGAAATGGAATCAGTGAGAAGAGTTCAAATACCAGCTGAATGTGTTTTGAACTCACTTTGCACTAACCATGAGAAAGGCATAAGCTCATCTTTCCTCCACATAACCATTAGTCAATGGTTGCGTTGATTCAACCTTTAAGCTTTGGTAGTGCAGCTGGTCTAGAAGGACAACTTTCATGCTCACTATAAACAACGTTTGGAGGACAAAAAATAAGTTGGTAGTGTCAACACTTTGTATTTTAACACATAAGTTAAGGAGTTTGGCATGACATTTAAAAAAAGAAAAAAAAAAGAAGAAAAAAACTAAGCTGGAGGAGTCATAAGTGTATATATTTGTTTTAAAAAAAGAAAAGAAAAAAAGGATGTGGATATCAACCACCAACTTAAGCAAAACAGAGTAGTGTATGTGTCTATGTATGTACAAGTTTCATTAAAAACAACTGACAAGGTACTGTGGTTAAGTTTTTTATACCGTCCTTGTTGACAGCTGGGTTATGTAATTTAATAATTGTTTATTTGGGCAGCAATCACTCTTTTATAGAGGTTTCATTAAAAATGACTGACAAAATAGAAGGGGGATTGCTGCCCAGATAAACAATTATTAAATTACATGACCAGGCAGACAACAAGGTAAGTAAAAAAAAAAACTAATAATGATGAAAGCAGGATTGGAGAATTTGACACCCACAGGACATATCAAAGGCAAGAGGGAGAGTGGAAAGCAGCGAATAAGCTACCTAATGAGATGTGTAAACGGTTGGCAGAACAGAGATTAGGAGATAGAACAAAACGACAAACTTTACTAAGAGATACAAAATTGTGGAGAGTTAGGATTATCTAAGTCCTGAAGAGACAAAGTACATAGAAGGAGAAATGGCAAAGGCATTTATAAACCCAAGAAAGGCTTTTTGCTTGACATTAACAGAAATCCTGAATTTGAACAATGTTATACACAGAACAGAAGTTAATCTGTTCTGCTGTAATATAAGCAGTTAAACTTTTAATCCTGACTTCTTTAATGCTCAAACAGAGCATACAGATATAAAATTCTTATGCCCCTCTGCAATTATTGACGCCAAAATATCGGCTGTTTATCATTATCACAGAAGCACTATGAGAAGAGAAGATTAACAACTAAGATAAAGAGTTCCAACTACATGCTGTCACAAGTTTGGAAAATTAATGTCACTTCTTTACTGTCTATAAAGATATACAATGAAATGTTTTTGTAAAATCTCCATGGAATTCTCAGTACTCCTCTGGAGAACGACATTTCTGTAGTCTCTATTTTCCTCTTCATCAGAAATCCTTGATAAAATCCAATATTATTGGTCATGATCTGGTGTCTTGGCTTTAGTCACTTTGCTACTGCTGTAAAGTTGCCTCCCCGTAGATTTTCTATAAATAATTTCATGGTAATTGTTTGAATGAGCTCTATGGTACCTTGACTTTATGAATTTAAGCGCAGTACTAGATGAGGCGTCATCAATTTACAGTTGTGTTGGATAGATGTAACTAAGTTTTATGCTAAGAGATTCTTTTTTCACATTTCTTGCTTGTGGAACTCTCTTCGTGCTTCCCTATCAACTTTGAGTTTCACAAATTTAAACGCAATGCCAATCGTTATCATCTATCTTCTTAATTATTGTTCTTTTATTATCCTCTCTCCTTAATAACATATTTTTCTCATATACTCTAACATTCAGTAACCACTTGTGTCTCAGTGGTCTAAAATTTCTATCAGAATTATTTTTTAATCAATTCACCCCCAAGCAAGGCAATAATGCCACTAAGATGCAAGGGGTTGCTGGGAGTGAAAGAGAATGAGAAGACTTTAAGTGAAAGAACTGGAGATTTAATACTACTCTACTTGTGTTCAAAAGGTATTAAATTATTGTTTTTTGAATTCATATTATATTCACAAGGGAACTGTTTAAATGCCAAATACAGGGGGTCCTCGACTTATGTCAGAAATCTGTTCTTACAGCTCAGTGTAACCCGATTTACAACATAGGTTGGAACTCAACTACATAAGCACCCACGTGTCTGCCTTACACTTGGAAGCCATGATGAATGGTGAAAACTTCCCCAAAAGACAACACAAATGAGAGATAGCGAATGTAGCACAATCCAGTATGGTGTACAGTCAGTGAAGAAACAAGGCTGTCTTCCTCATATAGTGCCATGTGATGATGGGAGATGGTTCCTCAACCACAAGATGCCATACATCAGGTCCAACATAACCTGAGGACTTTCTGTATAAAATAGAAATTTTCACATCCGTTTAATTTTTGTAAATGCTTTTCGTATAAGCTGAATCACTTGATGGATATGCTTTATAAATCTTACTCCTGAAATCAAAGGTGGCATAAACAACTATAAAAGAAACATGTACGTTTGAAATTTAATTGATTTTTTTTTATCTTTAGGCCTACCCGAGATATTCAAGACTGAAACCAGAGAACATACAATCAATAAATGTAAATAACAATCCAGTAAAGATTGTCTTGAACACACAACAGTACTTAATTCAGAAAGTAAGGAATAAGAAAAGAATTTTTTTTTGTTTGTTTGTTATTTTCTAAAAAGGGAAATTGACTTTTCATCTCGGCTTCAATCACATTCTCACTGCTGTAACGTAGCTTCCTGTGCCTCTTCTATAAATACTTCCATGCTAACAGTTTCTTTTCTCACATGTGGAACTCTCTTCCAACTTTGATTTTTAAAAATTCAAATGCAATGTCAATCATTATCTACTATCTTCCTGATTACTCTTCTATTGTTCTTGCATGCCATAATGTTTCTCTTTTTTCTTATTCTTTCACACTCAATAATCTCTTGCATCATAGTGGCTTTATTGTAATACCATTCTAAATAATAAAAGTCTACCATTAACCCTTGCTTTGAATATTGCTGCTACATCTGGTCTGGTGTTCTTGCTATATATTTAGAGATTCTTGATAAAACCCGAAGAAGAATCTGCAATGTTTTTTCTATCACACTTCTCACTTGTAAAACTACTTCTAGCGTCCCAGTCAATTTTGAGCTACAAAAATTTAAATGCAATGTCAATCATTATCTTCTGTCTTCCTAATTCCTCTTCTTTTATTATTCTCTCTCCTTAACAGTATTTTTCTATTTTTTTTTTCCCCCACATACTTTCTGACACGCAGTAACCCCTTGTGTCTTAGTGGCTTTGTCTTTTTGGAGTGAAATGAGTTAAAAAAAAAAAAAAAAAAAAATGTATATAATTGCATATATGGTGATATGGTTACATTTTAATGGTAAGTGAGACTGAACAGAATCATGTTGAGCATGAAAGACTCAAGAGATATTCGTAAGGGTCTGGATGCTAATTCCCCTAGGTTAGCATAGAATTTTATTGTGGGTGTCTCTGTAGAGCAGGCCTCAAAAATTGTCAAAGATGACTAACACTGAAAGCTCACTAAAATATCAATGTACCAGCTACTGCAAGAGGTGTCCAAGATTGTCACATGAGTGCAAAAGAATGAAAGAACCTAACAACTAAAATGTCTCAACGATGCTAACCATATTTGTGAATAAATTCATTGAAGGTATTACTTGAAATCGAGTGTGTGTGTGTAAAAATATATATATATATATATATATATATATATATATATATATATATATATACACACACCAAGTGTAACAGCAAAACTGTCCAAATTGTGTAACACCAAAATTGTCCAATTGTTAGATTAAGTGCTGAACCGTTGTATCTTACAAATGATTAAAGATATCTTACTGGAATTCCCCAAGGTTTTTATAACATTATTGGACTCTACTTTGAGCAATAAGAATGTATAATTACTCTTCAAGCTTAACAGAAGAACCATGATTAAATGGATCATAAATGAAAACGACATATTCATCATTAATTAATCATAACTAAGGATGAGAAGCTCATGAAGGATTGAAATAAAGTTCAAATATATATTATTACAGGAACATTTTCCAACTTATTCAAGATGATCTTCACCCTCTCTAACCTAATTTTCTGTCCTTGAGTAACAATTTCATTTTCAAGTCTTTTTCACTGCTCTTTGGACTGTCATATCTGAAGCTCCTCTCCCACATGCCAAATGTCTTATGAATGGAGTTAGATCTTTTCTAATTGATTTCTTCAGGTCTATGTTGTAATGATGATCCCTCTTCTTTTTATGACCTCCTGATCCAGTTTTCCTATCTATTGTTCACTCTTTTTTTTTTAAACACATTCACCATTCTCTTGATGGGTCTTGAATGGACTTTGAAGATGGAAGCAGAATGAAAATGTTGGTACCATTACTGAAGGCATGAATGATCTTTTTCCTCTCACCATTACTCAGTTGGGAAAACAGTGGATCTAACACAAAATGATTTTAACCAGTTCTCTTTTTAGCTGAATAACTCAAAGAGTTTTTAGTGATTCTTACAAAAAAAAAATAAACTCAGTTTAGTGGGTTTTTTTCCCAATATTAAACATTTTGTGGGATGGATAATTATGCTGTTACATGATTTGGACAATTTTACTGTTACACCTGTGTGTGATATATATATATATATATATATATATATATATATATATATATATATATATATATAGGGGTGGGATTAAAAAAAATTATATCCTGGCACTTACAGTCTGATGATCCAATAGTGAAAGTTTACTAGCTGCCAAATTACCATATAATTACTTTTAATTTCCTCTTATATTGCACTTAATGCAACTACAAACCAAAAACACTGACTTGAATGAAAGAAATAAATATATATTTTTATTACTTCAAATACTGTATTTGAATCTGTCGTCCATGTATTTTAAAAAGTTTATTTCATCTACTGGCATGCACACTCAAGAAAAATTATTAATAAAACAAAATAAAAGTGCCCTCCAGCAGGATTTGAATGTGCATCCACCTTTGCAACAGAATCCATCTGATCTGGCATGCCTTGCCCAGTCAGCTAGGAAGAGCAACACAATCAAGCAAGGTTCTATTTTCTTTTTAAGCACATTTACTTATTCAAATTTTCTCCAAAGGTATATCTGCTCAGAAATATATCTGAAATGTAAATAAAGCAATTTTTAAAGAATTAATGGATTTTACTTTTTAATCAGATATATTTTTATTACTTCAAGTGTTATTTTTCATGGATACCCATATCAGAGTAGTTGCTACATTTATTTTAAACATTGTATTATTTTGACTACCAGCCTATACTCCAGAGAAAACTGATTAAAAAAAATATTTTAAAACATTGCCTGCCAACCACCAAATAAATATTTTTAGTATGAAGGGGAAAAAAAAAAAAAAAACATGATTAAGCTCCAAATTATGTAATTTCTCTTCTGTTTTTTACTTTTTAAATTTTTTAAATTTGTGGGAGGAAACTGATACTTGCTCTGTATATGTTGGATTGCAAAAGCAGAAAGAGATGGGGGAAAAAAAAAAAAGGCAAAAAAATGAAATGGGATTGGATTAATTTGTTTTTAAAATGTTTTATGGTTTATCAACCATTCGTAGGTTATTTAAAGCCGAAACATATTTTGAGATTGTAAGAACAATTCGTTCTTTTGAGGGGGGGTTGTGATTGAATATTGCATTAACAATTTCTTGGAAATAACGATTTGAAGATACAAGTCATACTAATTAACCCATAGATGGAGAGAGAAGAAGTAGATTCATACCTTTCCCAAGGGTATTTTGCATGTAAGTGAATGTAATGAACCCAACTGGAATTCAAACTCAGGTTTCTGATTTCTCATTCTGAGCCTTTATCAATTACACCACTCACACATCCAAGCTTACTCATCTAGGTTCTGATCATGTTCAACGTTACTTAACTTCAGTAATCAGACCAGAACCGGTATTTCAACGTGATATGGCCATAAGCCTTGGGAATTAAAGCCATGGCTACTGACAAGAGAGGGTTATTAGACAATCCTCCACCTTTTTTCCTTGGCTTTAAAAGAAAGAAAAGAAAATCAGTCGTATGTCTACACAATAAATAAATGCTGATTTATTCTTTTAAACTTCAACACGCCATAGAATAACCAGGATCAAACAAAGAAACAAACAGTATTTTTTCACACACACACACACACACACACACACACACACACACACACAATAAATAAATAGGTTAAAAGACAAATTAGCTGCTTTTACTTCAGTGAACTAGATTCACCAGAGTCAAAAATCTGGCAATAACACTAGACTTTTGAAATCACTTTGATAAAACAAGTAAACCACTTTCTTGTTATCACTCCTTGCTCAGCTTACAATTTCTCCATTCATCAGCTGTCGACATATATATTACAGACATCTGAATTTTGCTTTCTTTCAATTTTTTTTTCTTTAACAACAAGCTCTCTTATGGCTGGTTTTCTTGAATGGAATCAAGGAAATAATTTCATGTTTGTCTTTTGTAGCACAAGACATTTAGCCAAACTGCATAATCAAACTCAAATGAGTTATTTGCTTTACTTTTCTTTGGTATGTTAAAATATACACCATTATATTAGGTTAACTCATAAGTGTTAAGGTGAGTGGAGTTACTCCCCGTGATATAAATTTGATTACCAAAAAGGAACGAGGAAAAAAAAAACCCCAAAAAATCAAAAAACATCGAGTTGGAAACATAGACAAAGGTGTTATAAGATTAATTAACAAATACAAAAATTTAGAATCTATTATTTCATAATAGGCTTAGACAACAAGTGACTTAAATATAGAAGAAAATAAGTTGCCATTTTGGGTAACCAACTTTAATGATGCATGTATGCTCTAAACATACATGGCAGTTAATAAGTTGAAGCACTATGCCAGAGAAGATTAACAACTAAGGCTAAAGAGTTCCAACAACATCCTGTCTCAAAGCTGGAGAATTACTGTCACTTCTTTATCTTCATTAAAAAATATAACATCATGTTTTCATGCAAAATCTAAATGAATTCTTTGTATGCGCCATTTATTGCTGATTGAACAAAATAGCAATAACAAGGTGAAAAATATGTGTATATATTTATGGTGAGAAATTTAGCAGAAAGCTTATAAAAGTTGATATCTTGATCAATGGTTAAAGAAAAAGATGTAGAAAAAAGAAAACTAGTAGCAAAAAGAAAAGAAGGGAAGCAAAGAGAAAAAAAGCAAAAAAGAAAAGAAGGAAAACAAAAAAAAGAAGATGCAAAAAAGAAAAGAAGGAAAGCAAAGAAGAAAAGAAACAAAAAAGAAAAGAAGCAAAGCAAAAAGAAAAGGAAAAAAAAAAAGCAAAAAAAAGAAAAGGAAAAAAAAAAAGAAAAAGAAAAAGAAGCAAAGCAAAAAGAAAAGGAAAAAAGAAAAGAAGCAAAGCAAAAAAAGAAAAGGAAAAAGAAAAGAAAAAAGCAAAAAGAAAAGGAAAAAAAAGAAGCAAAGCAAAAAGAAAAGGAAAAAAGAAAAGAAGCAAAGCAAAAAGAAAAGGAAAAAAGAAAAGAAGCAAAGCAAAAAGAAAAGGAAAAAAGAAAAGAAGCAAAGCAAAAAGAAAAGGAAAAAAGAAAAGAAGCAAAGCAAAAAGAAAAGGAAAAAAGAAAAGAAGCAAAGCAAAAAGAAAAGGAAAAAAGAAAAGAAGCAAAGCAAAAAGAAAAGGAAAAAAGAAAAGAAGCAAAGCAAAAAGCAAAGAAGGAAAAAGAAAAGCAAAAAAGAAAAGAAGCAAAAAAGAAAAGGAGCAAAAAAGAAAAGAAGGAAAGCAAAAAAGAAAAAAGGAAAGCAAAAAAGAAAAAAAGGAAAGCAAAAAAAATGAAGGAGCAAAAAAAAAAAGATAAAAAGAAAAAAAAAAAAGAAAAAGGAGATTGGACAGAGATATAAATTCAAATCTTTGTTGGTATTTGTAAAGGTTTAGATATTCAGGTGGACTAATGGTTAATGGAATGGAAAATTTGAAATTGTGTCAGAAATAATTTCCGTTTTTGAGAATCAATTGTAATGATGAATGTATCTTCCTAATTGAGCATTTCTTAAATATATCATAACAGGTAATGGAAAATAGGTTACATCCAACAATGTTCAACACAAAAAGCAGCAGATTGACTTGGATAAATCTCCAAAATGAACACCAATGGAAGAAAGGTTATGTCGAGCATGTGGCAAGATTGTTGGGGCATTATTTCTCGAGAGTTCTTAAAAATAAAATACAATGAAACACTAAATGCACATTTATATGTCCAGCAGCTGTAACATATCTATAGAAGTTTGGTCAGAGAGTTTCCTGTGTTTGTTCAAAGAGAAAATGTTAAGTCCCTTCTATGACAATACAAGGTCATATACAAGAATAAAAAAGAAAAACATTTTCGAACTTGGTTGGTCTTTTCTACCCCACCCGCCATATTTTGCTGAATTTGTACCAACCAATTAGTACTGTTTTCTGTCCTTGGAAGCCTTCTGTGTATCCTGTGAGTGTCAAATCTTCTAATCCTTCTTTCCTCATCAGGTGTCCTAGAAATTTCATCTCTTTGTGATTCTATGTACAAGTGTCCTGTTTGTGTCTGACTTTTTCCTTAAAACTTCCTCATTGCTTACACACTGATAGATAGCTTATGTCCAAAAAGCAACAAACAACAGAGATAAAGTTTTATTTAAAGCAAAGCATGAAATTCAGGCCATCACTACAACTTTCAAAAATATACATTGATACTGTTAAGTCAGTGACTCATCCAGCAACCTTCAGACAAAAATCAGTTGAGTCAGCTGCCAAGTTATATTGGAAAAGAAAAGTTTATCTTTAGTTGCCACATATTGTGCCTTCTCTCTCATCAAAAATACAATAACTGATTTTTCTTACTATTCATTCCCATAAATAGTGCTTTATGACTGCTATTGTCATTTAGCTTAACCTGTCAGATATGGTTAAAATTGACAGGAAATTAGTGCCCACCTATATAACAGTAACCCCACCAACCTCTGACACTATCACTCCTGTTATATGATATAAACCAAAGAAATAATTATACATTTCGTGCTGAGAATATTATGGACAGAGCATGTAAGCAACAAGGAAGTTTTCAGGAAAATGGAAAGAAAAAGGATACTTACAATCAGAAAAAGGCAGGTGAAACTTTTGCAATAAAGAATGGGGAAAGAAGGCTTGGAGAATTTCAGACTTACAGGAAACACTGTAGGCGATAGGGACAATGGTAAACAGTGAATAACCTACCTAACGAGCTCATTCAAATGTATGGCAGGACAGAGAATGGGCAGGATTGAAAGAAGACAAAGACTGCTAAGAATTACAAAAGATATGAAGTTGTGAAGAGCCATGATTGCCGACATTTTGACAGGACATGGCACATAGCAGCAGCAGCAGCAGCAATTCAGATAAATTTTTTGCTTCTTTTCTGTTAATTTTAAATTTTTATATACTGATATTCTTCATGAAATTTGTAGCTTTCTTCATGACCCTAGTATGGAAGCAATTAAAATACTGACTTGCATTTAAAATATAAATACAATTTATCCACATTTCCAAGTATCACAATCTTACGTGGCTAAGATTTTATTGATTATTTTATCATTTCATTTTTTACAGCTTGTCAACCTTTTGCAAGTTATTTAAAGCCAGAAATCATTTTTACATTGTAAGAATTTTTTTGAGATGATAATGATTTACAACTCCTACTAGTTAACCCATAACAGGAGGAGGAGAAAAGGTGGATTCATACCTTTCCCCAAGGATATTTGGGTATAAATGAATGTAATGAACACTACTGGAATTGGGACACAGCTCCCGATTTATAATTCAGAGCAGAAATACCTCCCACATAATGGTAATACATTAGCTAAATGAAGACACCATGACCATTTGCTTAAGTTTATTAGCACCACACAGGTGGCAGCTTAAAAATGAAGGAGGTATTTCTGCTACACACTTTAAAAAGAAAAACTAACTGAAATCTTGTAAACAAAATGTTAAGTTTGCTATTTCATCTGCATATGATTATATATATATATATATATATATATATATATATATATTTATTTTAAATTGTATATTAAAATATATAATATATATATATATATATATATATATATATATATATATATTTATATATATTTATATTTATCTGCACGTGATAATATATGTGTATAAATATATATTTAAAAATAAACACAGACAAGTTTCAACCAGCATGCTCTGCTTAAATCAATTTTTTTCTTTCTTTAATATTCCAAATAAGCAAAATATTTTGCTGTATTTCAAAATTAATTTAAATTGACTGGAAAGAGTATTTTTTTCTATAAAAAAAAAAAAAAAATTATTTCAGCACCATTTTTAGCCTGTGTTTATCGCAATGTAATTCTCTTCATTAAAAAAAATCTTCCAAAAATAAAATATACTTTTCTGAAACTTTGAAGAATATTCTGATTTAAAGTATAATTAATCTGATTTGAAACAAATATTCACTTTAAGTATGAAATATTGCAGAAATGCATTTTTTTTAAAGCTTTGTAGTAGCTGTTTATTTAAGCTGTTGACATGTTGAATGTCAACATCTTGTGTCGTTATTTTCTCTTCAAGTTACATGTGCTATCCATTTTAGTTGTTGCTGTTGTTGAAATTCATCAAGCGATGTGGTTTCTATTATCTGATACATGTCTGTGATTGTAATGCTGTAGTGTCAGTTCACAAGGTCCAAAAAAGTGTGGTCTTCAAGACACTTGCTCAAAGGCACTTTTAACCATTGATCTTAGAAAGCAGTTATATACAGCAGACAGTGTAGATATTTCTGAACAGGTTTGGCGCCGTGCATGACAAACATTTTTCTGATGCTTCTTTGCCTCTAGGAGGCACATTCAAAATTTTTGTTTTACTTACAAATAAAGAATTCAAAAAATGCCCATGAAAAAGAAGATAATGAAAGATCAGAAAGAATAATTTAAAAAAAAAAAAAAAAAATTCTCTTTATACTGGCATTTTGGTTTCTTTCTCAAGTTCCTTCAATCTTCCATACAAGATGCAAAAGAAAAAGCCAGCAATATTACAAACAGTACAATAACAAATAAGAATATTATTTATATTTTTTACATTTGGCCTTCATCAGGCGGATATCGATCTGGGTGACCTATACGAAATTCCAAACTGAATACTTTATTTGATCTATGGAGGTAGACATTGTTCACTTTTCCCCCCACTACATCCAAGTACACAATGCCTGGCTCAGGGACTGAACTCACAATTAATATGTCACCAAATTCCCAAACAAACACTTTAATTCTCCTCCTCTGTCTTTTCATTTGGAGTCAAGGTTTGTCCTCTCTAAAGTCTTCTCATTCTCTTTCATTCCTTGTAGTCCCTTGCATCTTAGTGGCAATATCGCCTTCCTTGAGGTGAATTAATTAAAAAAAAAAAAATAAAATAGACTAGGCTAGCCAGTGAAAACAGGGTGACAAATAACTAAAAACTAAAATACTAAAAATAAAAACTAGACACGATATCCTTGGATATGGGTAGAGGAACGAGAACAGTCTATCTTCATAGATTAAATAAAGGTTTCTGTTCGGAATTCCCTGCAGGTTACCAGCTCGATATACACCCGAGGAAGACCAGAGAGTACAATGGCCGAAACATTGTGATAACAACTAAAAACTTGAGGACAATAGTTCAAATGTAAAATAGCATAAACAATAATAACTGCTCATCCCAGAAATTTATACTGAAATAATGATTATATCTATATTAGTTTTGTCATCCAACTCAACCTTCTTTTTCTGTCAAACATCTACAAGGTTTAAAAGACAGAACATAAAGATAACTAAGCCTGTAAATTTACTTATGGCGCTATATATAAAAATGCTCAAGTTTTCAAATGTAAGTACAGAAAAATATTGTTAGTCATCTTGTTGTTGCTGATTATTTGAGGCTTACAAATACATTACATTAAAATACTGGTTCCTGTACAATCACTGAAGTTAAGCAACATTGAGCCTGTTCAATACCTACATGGGAGATCACTTGGGAACACTAGGTGCTGTAAGCTGATGTACAGGTGGTTTAATGGATAATGGCTTGGAATTGTTAATTGTAGAGTCGAGTTCCAATTCCCATTGTGTTCATTATGTTCACTTAGGTTCACTTATTTCCTTGAGAAAGGTCTGAATTTTCTCACCCCAGCTATGGGTTAATTAGTAAAACTTGTATCACTAAAACTCATTATAACAACAACAAAAAAATTTAATCCAAAAATATTTTCAGACTTTAAAAGGGATGATAAGCCATAGAAAATAAATCAATGTTTATTTGATTACTTCAAAACTGACCTTTGGTGAATTCAGTGACTTTTTAGAGATCAACTAATTTGTATTATTCCAGGCAATGAAAAAGTGAAACAAAGGCCAAAATAATAAGGGAAACAGAAAAAAAAAAAAAATCTGCCAACTTAGGTGAAGTAACCTGGACCAGAGCTTCACTTCAATCTACTCAGTCATCTTGTTAGAGTTGGCCCAGGGATCAGGACTGCAAACATTACATTCTACCCATTTGTGCAATACTAAGAGATCTACATTTCACATAATTGCAGTGAGTCAATTATTGTTCATTGAAATTATTTACATAAGTTTAAGAGTACATCAATTAGTTTGCAGCCTAACAGTTATTAATTGAAGTTTTATATTAAATTTTTGCTGTATAAAATGAATACTTTTTCATTGTTAAGCTGCAAACTTGTGTGTGTGCACATACGCATGAGTGAGAGAGAAAGAGACTTGCATACAGGTTACCAAAGTTTATCACCAGTTATCTCACTCTCAGGCAGATACACTATATATATATATATATATATATATATATACGGAAAAAATAAAATAAAAACAAATAAATAAACAAGTAAACAAAATAACAATAAAATAAGCAAAATTAATTAATCCAAACAAATTACCAAATCACACCTGTTAGAAAGAATAGACGAAATAGAATAATAATAATAATAATAAAAAAAACAAAACAAAACAAAAAACAATGAACCCAAATAAATAAAGTAAATAATAAACAACGTAGCAAACCATTATGACCAAAATATTAGTTAGACTAAATAATCAAACCAAAAAATCGGACAAAAAACATAGCTATAACTATTATATAACGAGAAAAAAAATAAATACTACGTTACTTAAAAATCGAAAACAGAAAAGAGAAAATATAGAAGTAAAATAAATTGACCTAAATTCATCCAAGTAAATAAATAAACTAACCAATACCGATAAAGTTACCGTTAGAAAAAACAAATAAAGGTAATCAACCCAAATAAACACAAATTAAAAACTGTTTCTGCCAAAATAATAGTTAAAATAAAACTACAACAACCAACCCCCAAATGGAACAAATAGCTTTAATAAATTCTCAAACCAAAACAAAACTATTAAATAAGTGATATAAACAAATTTTTACTACGTTAATAAAAAAAAAAAACACAGATTAAAAAAAAATAAGTAAATAAATAAATAAAATAAGAAACAAAAAATAAAATTAAATAAAAACAAGCAAAATAATTTAACCTAAATAAATAAATAAACGACTTCCGGTAAAATAACCGCCATAATAGACTACTCACAATGCACCACTGACCCGTATATGTATGAATAGCCGAGGAAAATAACAGCACACGTGGCCTGATGATTGCATATAGCATGAAACAGACTGTCGCCTCTAAGCGTTGACTTCTATGTTCACTTTTATATTTACACACGCTCTATCTCTGATATCGAGCACTTTATCCCATAAATATAGCACACCTTAAGACTATATATATATATATATATATATATATATATATATATATATATATATATATATTTGTTTGTTAGTTGGCATATCAACCACTATGGGTTATTTAATGATGAAATCTGAAATCTAAATAATTTGAACAATTTTATTGCTTCAACTAAATATATTTTGAATGCAATTCTGTCTTCAACAACAGATAAAATGTATTGCTGGTCATTTGGCTTTAAAAATATAACATCAGTCATTTCGCTATAAATATGTAATATCATTTCACTATAAATATGTATTGCTGGTATTTTTACTATATGTATTTTTATACTTTCATAGTGTTCTGTTTTTGTTTGTGGGTTCACTATTTTCCTTATAGCTGGGACCCTAATAGGTGCAACCACCCTGGGCTAGGGTGGACCTGGGAACAACACCAATTAAGGTGGTTCTAGGCTTCTCAAAAGCTCCAATCTCACGATCAGAGGCCTTCCTTGCTGCTAGGTGTACCCAGCACTTATATATTTATTTAATCAACTGAATACTAAGCAAAGTTTAATAATATACGTAACTCTTCATCATAAATTTCGGGGAAGATCAACTAAGAAAAATAAACAAATTTTATTTGAGTAGAACAATGAAAACAATAGCTAAAGAAGAGACAACATCACCATGTTAAATTAAAAAGCTTTTGCCTTTCTCACTTTGTGTAAAATAGATCGGCACTGAAAATGAACAGTTCACTTAGAAAGAATATGGAGATCAAAGAGATTTAATAATGGGGATATGCATTCAATCATTAGCATACACTTTAGGATTCTATCCTTAAAAATAAATAAAATAAAACATGTTGAACTTTTGATATTAAAAACCACTTTGATCCAAAGTCTACTGATTGGCCCACACAAACACAATCTTGCTAGTTCTTGTAATCATTCCTATATAAACTGTGAATTTGTTATCTCACAAAGAAAGTTACAAACAATTTGCTCCTAAAATATTATATCTAATCTATCTTTAGCTAAGTTTGAAACAAAGATTCCTCTCTCAATATAAATACATGAGTTCTGTCTTAGCAGGGTTGGAGCAGCTGCCCAGTTTTCACCTTCCAGACTTGATAGAGTCCAAAAGCATTTATGCGATCTTGTGGTTGATGATTTTCCACACTACAACCTCTTCTCCAGAGACAAAATGCTGCAAGCCACTCACTACTCTATTACTATGAAAAATATTCTGATGTACTATATTCCTCACTGCCGCCAGTTCTAACCTTCACAGCTAAAACCTGTCATGCCACATACACTGTGGCAAACAACCCTTATTCCCTTTACATTCCATTAATGAGAAGTTCTGCCAGAACAGCTTCTCCTGCTTAACCACTATTTTGTGGTACCAACTCCCAAGAGGATGCTTCCCTGACCACTACAATCTTAACCTGTTCAAATCTATGGTTAACCTAGATCTTTCCCATATAGACTGTGCTGCTTATTCTTTCCACTCACACAACAAACTTTTTCAGTAACCCTATACATCAAGTGGCTCTTGAGGCTTGTAAAAGTGAATATTAGTAAAACATAAAAAAAAAAAAAAAACACAACAAAAATAGGAATGTTTGTACAAGTCAGATTTTGAACATTTACATCAAAGCATTAACACTTAGCAGATAGAGTCAGATTTGAAATCCCTAACTCCAAAGACATCCCACACATTAAATGCACAATGGGCGTACAATACATAACTGTTCCTCATTTTCTGTGCCTTTATATGATCCTTGGCCAAAGGAAAGGCACCAGTTGTGGCAGTGTCTGTTTGTAACATCTAGACAAGAGATTTAGTTTTAAAGCGAAATGAGACAGGAAGTGAGGAGGACAGTAGTGGGGAGTGGAAGGAACGGGAATGAAATCAAAAGAGTGAAAGGTGGATATGCAGAAATGTGTGAGAAAAATTGGAGGGAGGGCAGCAGAGAAAGTGAAAAAGCCAGCTGTATCCACAAAGAAGTGAAACAACTTTCCTTGTCAGTAGTTCCTACCTTCCACTTATTCCTTGGGTGTCAAGAAACAACTTACTGGCTTGGTTAGTCAGAAAGCATAAATCACTATTAGAAACTTTTATTATATATATATATATATATATATATATATATATATATATATATATATATATATATAAAACCTGAAAAAACACACACACATATATATATATATATATATATATATATATATAAAAAACCTGAAAAAAACACACACACACACACATATATAAAAAACCTGAAAACACACATATTTTTTTTATATATTTTTTATATATATATATATATATATATATATATATATATATATATATATAGCCTTGGGCACCTCAAGGCGGTGTAATGGTTAGCAAGCTAGGCTCGCAAGAAGAATTACGACTGAGTAGTGAGTTCGATCCTCACTGGGTGCCCCCTAACTTTGGCCTTGTGCCACATCTAAGCTACGCTTGGAAAATCACTATATATATATATAGCCTGAAAAACACACACACGTATAACCTGAAACACACACACACATATATATATATATATATATATATATATAGCCTGAAGTACAGATTAAATAGAGTTACAGAGTAGGAGGCACAGTATATGTGGGAAAGATAACTGTTGACCCGAGGTTAATATTTTAGTGATCAGGGAAGCATCCTCTTAGGAGTTGGTTCCACAAAGCAATGATCCATGGTAAGAAGCTGCTTGAGTGGGACTTACATCTCTCTAATGGTATACAAAGAGAATGAGGATGATTCACTACAATGTACATAGCATGCTGGATCTTAGCCATGATGGTTACAACTGGTGGAACTAAACTATATAGTTTGTCTGAACACACTCAATGGAAATAGTGATAGAGCAGCAAGAGGCTTGTAATGTTGTCTGTAGGAAAGGATTTGTAGGGTGAAAAATAATTCATCACCCACAAGGCCTCAGAGAGACATTTGGACACTATCAAGATTGGAAAGTTAAAACAGAACAGCTCCTACCCATGTGTTGCAGCAATACTCCATTTTTGGCCTGATCTGGCTCTTGTGAAGGTAGAGGATATCAGGAGTCAGATACTTATTGGAGTGGAACTGACCATTTTTCCGGCATCTTTAACAATGGATAATGTGTACGAGTTCCACCTGAGGTCTGGGTGAGCTTATGTACTAATAAGACTTTGGAGAACACCTATTCATCACGATAGATGAAAATTCACTGTCCAATCAGTGATGATGATGATGGAACATCACTACTTTGATTATATTATGTTGCTGTGAAGATCTTCAGATGTTTCACTATAAAACTGACCAACATCAGCCCCACCAGTGGGGCATGGTAATATTTTGGTGAGGCATGTGTAGGATGTGCATCCTTTGGCTTACTATACCAATGTGAACTCAAATTTCATTTTGCATTATTATTTCATGATTAAAATGATCAAAGTATATTAGAGAATAAGCTTTCATTTAAATATTTTATATTTCTACCTTTCAGTTCTCTATTATATGTTTTGAAACTATGTATATTTAACTGTCTTTTTGGATATTTTTTTTTTATTTTTTTCTTTCATAGAAGGTATGATCTTTGGAGGCTTGTTTTGAGACCAAGTTAATGGACTTTTAAGTTTCCTTCACGTGAATTGCAGTAAACTTTTGAATATATAAGAATTAAATATTACAGGAGAGCACCAAAATTTTAGAAATACCAACACGTGTGTGTGTGTGGGGGGGCATGACCCAAAATCATTTGGGAACCACTGGTTTAACTTGTCACAATCTTTAGAGATGGTTATATACCAAATAATTAGAATTTAAATGTTATCTTGCTAACAGACAACTGGAAGCTGAATTGTTTCTTTTTGGGTTTTTTTTTTTCATTTTCTTTTTTGTGTGATGAGATATCTATGAAATGACTCTAGAAAAATTTTTTTTTTTTTTTAAATCCATTCACCTTAAGCAAGGTCATAATGCTACTAAGACACAAGTGGATACT